CTTTGCAAAGTCGGCCCGCGTCCCCGCCGCCCTCGGCTGCGTCTGGGCGCCGAGGCTCGCCTCACAGCCGCAGCGGCCCCGCGAGGAGGAGGAGCCGCCTTCGCCGCATCAAAGAGACCGAATTCCCGCGGCCTGGGGGGGAGTCATGCTTGGCGGTCTGTAATGTCAGCAGAACAGGAGAAGGATCCTATTTCGCTGAAGAGAGTTCGAGGTAACCGAGAAGGGCGCCGGACTGGGGGGGCCGGGGTGAGTGCGGTGCGCGGGGCCGCGTGCCCGGCAGCCGGGAGGCCACGGGGCTCGGTCCGGGCCTAACTCCGCGCAGCCCGCGTCCCGCCCGCGCCCCAGGGCCGAGCTGCGGTCCGAGACGCGCGGCCCCGGCGCCCGCTCGCCCGTAGACACTCGCGCCGAGCCCTCGCCTAGCGACTTTGTGTTGGGAGGCAGTTGGAGCCGCACTCAGCATCCCTTCATACCCTCTCCTCTCCCGCCTCACCTCATCCTTAACACTCAGCACAATAGGCACGTCAGAGGGTGAGAAAGAGGCACCCCTGGCAGAGACCTCGAAGGATGCCCACCCCCCCATAAAAGTAAGTTGGATTGCAGGAGAGTTGACTCTAGAAGGTCTTCAGGCTTTCGCGTCCCTCCCAGCCCTTCACCCCTCCTGTCCCCTTCCCAAGGCAACAGATACTCATTTTTGTTTTCCTTAAGATTAAGAGAAGAAACTATATAAATTCACAAGGCGTTTTCTTTATTGCTTTATGAACAATCATCTAATTAGGTATGATAGGGTTTCCTCTTTCTTGCAAACTAGTTAAGAGTTGTACTGCCGTCTTACTAAGAAAAATCAGAACCAGGTATTAGACAAAAGATGCTGCATGCAAGTTCACAAACGCCAAATACCAATTGGAAATTTGTGAATACTTTTCCAGCTCTTATGCCCAGCTCTCAATAGGGTTCAGACTGAAAGTCTCCAAATCTGAGTAATGTTTGTTCGTTAAGCAAATATTTATTGAACATCTACTAGATATTGTTCTTGGTGCTGAATAAAAAAAAATATAGATGATCTTCACCCAGAAGGTGTTCACACTCTTGTGAGTTAAACACTTGGTAAACAAAAAGGATAGAATGTCAAATGGTAAAAACAAAACTAAAACCAACAAACATACCAAAAAAAAAAAAAAAACAGAAAAAGGATAGAAAGTATGGGTGAGGAAGAAGGGTTTATGTGGGAAGGTGATATTTGTTTGACCCAAGACCTAAAGGAAATTGTATAGTAGATCCTTGTGATAACTGTGAGAAAAGCACTCTCAGCAAAAGGAACAGCAAATGCAAAGACTCTGGGTCTGAAATATACCTAGGCAGTATTCAAGCAACAGCAAAGAAGCTGTTATAACTGTAGTGAAGTTAGCAAGTGAAGAGTTGTATGAGATGGGCAAAGGGATGGGATTATTGTGTATTGGAAAGCCTTGTGAACCATTTAAAACAGGCTTTTACTCTGATAGGGACTGGACAGTTTTGTGCAGAAGAGCAATCTGACATTTTTAATAGGGCTTCTCTCGTGATTTTACAGAAAATAGACTGTGGAGAACAAGTGCTAAAGCGGGGAGATTAGTTAGGCTATTGAAATAATCCTTTCATCCAAAAAAAGGGTAAATTGCTTTATAAATCAGTAAGTAATAAGGTAAATTTAATTTGACTAAGGTAATACAGAGATCAAGAACTACAGTCATTCATTGATCTTTTTATAGAGTGCAACTGTAGATTAAACATACATAGAACTGGTGTGAGACTCACTGACGATGTGATCTCCAAGACATCCACTCATGGGTCTTTAGGTAGAACTGATTTTCTCAGCCATTAAAAAAAAACAAGGGGCTGGGGATATGGCTCAAGCCGTAGCATGCTCACCTGGCATGCTCGGGGCGCTGGGTTCGATCCTCAGCACCACATAAAAATAAAATAAAGATGTTGTGTCCATCGAAAACTAAAAAATAAATATTAAAAAAACATAATTTAGAGTATTGTTTTTAAAGGCTTAATATCACAGCCTTTCATTTGGTGAAATATTTCATCCTTCTGTTTGTAGTTAAGAGTTGCCAAAGCCAGATGCAGTGTTGCATGCCTATAATTCCAGCAGCACAGGAGGCCGAGGCAGTAGGATCACAAGTTCAAAGCCAGCCTCAGCAATTTAGTGAACTCTGTCTCAAAATAAACAGCTGGAATGGATCTTGGTGGTTAAGGGCCCTGAGTTCAATTCCCAGTACCAAAATAAATAAATAAATAAGTTGCCAAAGCTCTTAAAAAGTAGTCATTTCTGAGCTACAATATTTCTCCTGAGATTTTTGCTGTATTATTTTGCCTACTATTATAAATTGCTTTGAAGTTTAAGGAAAAGAGCTATGAAGTTTATACCTTTGAATTCAATTATCAGTCTTAAATCAAATTTAATTCTAAATAAAATGGATGAGTATTTTATTGTGGGTCAAGAGCACAGATATATCATCATTTTGTACCAACTGCTGCTTTTAAGTCTCATGCCTTACCTGTTGGGATTTGACTCAGGTGTCAGATCAAGAATATTCTGAGAGTTAAGTACCAGAATAAAAGACAAAACACTTTTTTTTTAAAGTCAATTTTTGTTTCATGGAGAGGGTTTTTATAAGTCATTTTCTAATAATCAACAGTTTAAGAGATATTTTGTAGGTTATTTCATAATCCACAAAATGTACCAGAATATTCTGAAACACAGTTCTGTTGAACTTCACTGCCCTGGAACTTTTTGTTATTTGCATCATTAACTGCATATGCAAGTTGTGTTTATAGAGCATAAACTCTTGAGCAGTACTTCTCAAACTTCTTCTCACCCACTGATGTATATAAACAGATCTTTTTTTTTAAAGAGAGAAAGAGAATTTTTTAATATTTATTTTTTAGTTTTCAGTGGACACAACATCTTTATTTTATTTTTATGTGGTGCTCAGGATAGAACCCAGGGCCTCGAGCATGCCAGCCAAGCGTGCTACCGCTTGAGCCACATCCCCAGCCCAGACAGATCTTTTTAAATGGTTCTTTATTTCATGTGTATTACCAAAAACAAACAAACAAACAAAAAACCCTTGAAACGCCTTGCTTATGCATATACATATTTCAATTTAAATTAATTATTTAAAGAGTAATATTTTAGGTGGAACTCAGATTTGACCCAATTATGACAACATTAATGATTGAGGACTTTATCATAATATGCTCCCTAAACTAAAAGCATCATATTCACCTGTTGTACTTAGTAACTGTAAAATCCTAGATCCACAGAATCAAGATATCAAGGAAAGTTTCCTTGCATCTTTAATGAGATTCCCAGGTGATCCTTATATATGCAAAAGTTTGAAAACTGGTTTGTGGACCTAATTGTGAAGGAGGGTGGACCAGAAAAAGTTGATTTGCAGTTTTCCAAACTTTTCCTGATGTTATAACATTAGAGTCTGAATCACAATTTAGTGACACAATGTCTTATATTTCCCCCCAGTGCTTACCACCCTTTAACTCTGAGCTCTTAATTACAAGATAATTCCATAAAGACATACTATATCTTAATTATCTTTTTAGTTGCCTTGGCAGTAGTAAATGTCAGATTAATTAATGGAGAAGTAAGTACATTAATTAATTCAGTAATATCTTTATGTTGCATTCTAATTGTCCACAGCCCCTCAAACTGCAAAAGCTTGCCCTTTTCCCTTAGAATGTCACCTGTAATCCTTATTTTTAAATAAACATTCCCATTCTGTAGTATTCTTAGAACTCTTTTAGATATTGATGTGTAGGCATTATTCATTTCTTTATTCAGCATGTATTTATTAAGTAGTCACAGTGCCAGATTGTGGAAATACATTAAGAATACTATGACACAGCCAGGTGTGGTGGTATATGCCTGTAATCCTAGTGACTCGGGAGGCTGAGGCAGGAGGATCACATGTTCAAGGCCAGTATTAGCAACTTATCAAGACCCTGCTTCAAATAAAAACCAAAAATGGCTGGGGATATAGCTTAGTAGCAAAGCATCCCAGGGTTCAATCCCCAGTACCAAAATTAAAAAGAAGAGTTGACACCTATCCTCAAGAAATGATCAACTTAGTACAGGACACTTGACACTGTGGAATAAATGCCTAACACATGGTAGGCATTAGAAAACATACTGAATTCTTCATTGCTGAATGAATTATCCTTTCTGTTACCTTTTCAGTTTCCCCTACTCCTTCTACATTGGATTTTTTCTGTAAATCTACAAGTGTTTTTTTTTTTAAATATTTATTTTTTTAGTTGGACACAATATCATCTTTATTTTATTTATTTATTTTATGTGGTGCTAAGGATCGAACCCAAGGCCTTGCACGTGCTAGGTGAGCACTCTACTACTGAGCCCCAGCCCTACAAGTGATTTTTTTTGTCCTTTTAAAAAATATTTTATTTAATCATACATGAACACAATACCTTTATTTATTTATTTATATGTTGTGCTGAGGATCGAAGCCAGTGCCTCACACGTGCTAGGCAAGCACTCTACCACTGAGCTACAGCCCCAGCCCCCTTACAAATTGTTTTAAGTTTTGTTTTTTGTTTTTTGTTTTTCCAATGGAGAAAAGTTAAAAGATACAAATAGAAACTTTGAGTGTTAGGTTATTATATGTTCCTTTATTTCCTTAAAATATAATTACTATCTATAAGGCAGTCAAGAAAAACCTCCTAGAGAAAAGTTTTAGATATGGTTTGTGTTCTTTTGTATTAAGTGATGTAGAAGGAAGGGGTTGCTCAGAGGTAGAGTGCTTGCCTAGTATGTTTGAGACACTGGGTTGGATCCTAGCACCATATAAAAATAAATAAATAAAGGTATTATGTCCATAAACAACTAAAAATATTAAAAAAAAAAAAAGATGGGGCTGGGGTTGTGGCTCATTGGTAGAGCACTTGCCTAGCATGTGTGAGGCACTGAGTTTGATCCTCAGCACCACATGAAAATAAATAAATAAAGGTATTGTGTCCAATTACAACTAAAAAATAAATGTTTTTTAAAAAGGATGAAAAGGAATGAGAAATGGTCCCTGGGGATTTTGAGAAGGCACTTTTGGTAGAAAACCACAGTATAAAGCATTGATGATTAATATGCCCAAAATTAAATGATATAGATGTGGCTAAAAAGATGTGTAGTAGAAAGATGTA